TGGAGATCGAATTTGTAGTACTTCGCCAGAGTCTTGAATACGGGTCTCGGATAGACAACAAACATCGATATTAAGACTTTCCAAAGACATAGCCAGCCCTATCTGTTGTCCGACCTGCATAAATGTGCGAACGTTGAAGGCAGCCAGTTTGAATGGTGCACGTGGTTTCAGAAAAACTGCTTCAGTCCTCGTATTCGGTGGTAACATACAATTTTCAACCGGACAGTGACTCGAGAACGTTTAGATACAGTCGAATTTCCACCAAAGACGAGCCGCTGTATAAGTATAAAAGAGGGTGAATAATGTGGAAAATAATAATAATAATAATGACAACAATAGTAATAATAATAGTATTAATAATGACAATAATTGTAATGATAATAATCTGAATCAATTGTTTGTTTTTCAAAGCGAGAAAGGTAATTTCCATAGGCATAAAGAGTTCATCAATTTGTGTGTGGGCTGTGATACTGCCCGGGTGCCCAAACCGAAGCAGGTGGTTATCTTAGGGGGCCACTCCCCGAGCCTTTGACCTAAAGGTCTAACCCACAAGGCAGTGGAGCATCGTAAGGAGATGCAGTCCCATGGTAGCCGGTGACCAACGATTGGTTCATACGCCATTCGTTCCCGCAGGATACTGGAGCCCATGTGCACCATTGATTTGGAATCCGGTTAAAGCGCCGGACATTCGCTTTTCGTCCTCTCATTTTCGTAAACAACACCCCCGCCACGAGAAGGCAATGAGTAGGACTTCCCTGGCAGAGGCTGTATACGCGTGGCCGTGTGAGAGTATTTCGAGAGGGAGAGCGGACTCTCCCCACTCTCGGCCGTACCAGGGCATTCAGGGGGCTTCCGTAGTCACGTGTATGCTTGAACCAGTGTCTAACGATTTGGATATCCAGTTGGCGTTCAGTACGGTTGACACAAATCGAACCTTCTCATTTTCTTTTATCAGTTAAGTTGGTGTGCCTTTTCTGCACCGCTGATAAACGTACCAGTGTAATGAACGAACTTACAAGTGGGGACAAGCAAATGTATTATAACACAAAAATTACAGAATCTCTTGATAAAATATAAGAACTACACATCGAATAATCCAATCGCAAAATTTCGTCTTTCACATCCTGTATGATTCTTCCAAGTCATAATCCTTTTGTACTTCCATTTTTGTTTCCTCTTCAAGCTGATCTAAGCCTGCTGACGAGGTTTCCGGCTGATGTTATATACTACTTCACTCCATACAAGATTCTAAGGCTTCTATGAGCTTATATACCAAACGCCGTTAATCCGGCACTATACTTATCATTAATCAGATATCTCTATTCTAGGTCTTTAAATAAGCCTTTTTGAGACGGGGAAGGACTTTCTCGATTGCTGGACTGAGAGTGTTCAACAGACACCAACATTCCTGTCGTAAATTTTCTAAGACAATTCTCGCTTCATGACAAATATTCCAACTGAAATCCGCAAGGTAGACTGGCAGATGAAGCAAAATCTGAAAACACTGATACAGAGCCTTGACCAATCTAACTACGATTTATTTTACATATACCCAACACATTCCCAACAAGTAAAGACTTACCGCTCATTCAGATGGATATTTATTCGATGAAGTTCAGAAGTAGAAAATAGTTGACCTAGAAAGGTGTCTACAAGCAGAAAAACATCTACTTTAATCAAGAGATTGCTGAAAATGGAATGACTGTTTACCTGCATTCAATTTTCCCCAGTAAGTGTGGCTTGAGTGGATTCATTTTGAAGGACTTTCTATTACTACAACTATATTTATAGTATCACCTTAAGTCTATTTATGTTTAAATGCGTTTTGACTTGGCTCCTATAAAGCTTTTTGAGTGTCTAGTACGACGGACGATGTTTATGTTAGATTCGTAGTCAGTTGTCTTAGATTCAGTATTTGGTTGGAAAAAAATATAGGGACCGACTCACGGCAACGGACATCCGGTATGACTTGCATCTCCAGCGCTTAAGTTAGCTTATTTTTACAAACATATGGTTCCCGACTCCATTTGACATTCTGGGAAGATAATAGATAATTTGCGCACATGCATACGCTACGGACGTAGACTTTGACTTATCGAAAGTCATTTTATTCGAAGAATGTTCTGGAATCGCTTGGGGGCGTAATCAACCCGAAGTACATGAAGATGCCACATGTAGTCGGAGTTCGACAACGCCCTTACCAGTAACACATTTTATAATCGAAATGCGCCAACCTAGTCACATCAGGAGTCAGAAACGAAGAGGTTCGGAGATACACTTGATAGGTTATCAATGTATTGGGAATGGACTAATTTAAGCTGACTAGCGGTTGTAAGGGATGTGGAGCACAGCGTACCCACTGGTGATATGGTGCAGATGCGTGACCCAGCGTATTTAGGAGGTGAGTCCGGTTAAACTTATGCGGCCAGAATCAGATGTCGGAAACTTACAGAGCTATTGATTTCCGGAATTCATTTACCGCTACATACATTCAGATATAAATGCTTAGAAGAACACTTTCTTACCGTAAATATTTTGAACCGTTTAAAGCGAAACAAATTGTAACTCACTGATGCCATGAAATAAGATGGAAACCAGGTGTGATTTCTGGGACTATGATTATTATAGGCTAAGTTATATAAACTAACGGATTGATAGATCTAATTTACAAGTTTACGCACCGTGATGTGGCTATCTTACTTATATATCCTAACCTCGAAGTCATGCTTGTCTATACTGATTTGCCTATCCGTGACAGTTAGCAGTATTGATATATAAAAAGCCTAAGGGAGTTTACTCGAACTTGGCGGCACAATAATATATTTAATATGAATTCATAATAGATCCAGAGTTAGATCGAACCGTTACGTCCATACCATGTTGACAATATTCATTCGAGGTTTGTTTCTGAGTGAGAAGTAAATCTTTGTCAGCCTTATTTAGGTTTTTCCATTTTAATTCACTATGAGGACTGAAACTGTCAGCATTACATAAACAGAGATAGAGAATTCGGGTGCTAATCGTGGAAGAAATGATCTACTTTAGGCCATGTTTTGATCCGATGGTATGCTTGGTCTCGTGTCTTAAGTTGATGGTATTGACTAAAACTAACAAGGCCAGCATCAGCACCATGGGTTATAAACCCATGTGAGGAATTACGATTAATATTTACAGTTGAAGGTTAGGGTTGGGAATTAGATTTAGGGTTTTCATCATAAATTGGTATGAACTGTAATGCCATAACTATTTAGCCAAATCAATTAGATAATTTCGCACCAAAACTCAAGACCCGCCATTATTAATCTGATTGGTCCCTCTATAAATTGTAGCATCGCCGAGCTTGGTAGTAGTCGCAAGGGATGCGTATCACGGCTCATCCGCACGTGGTGCCAAACGCCTTCAGTTAGGTGTGACCAGTTCAAATAACAAGGTAATCATCAATGTCGAAGACTTACAGAACTATTTCTTTTGAGGATTTATTTTCTACCATGTGTTTCCACATGAATGTTGGTGTATCTGTTATGTACCCACAGTGCTAAGAAATCAAAAGGGTAATGAGCATCCAAATTGTTTTCAACTTGTTCTGTACACCCAGAAGGTACTCAAATCATGGATGGAAAATAATGTTGCCTTTCCGCAAGGAACAATTTTATATTAATTTGCCTCAAAGATGAGCAGCAATTAGTTTGTCAGTTGCAATAAACGCTACCTAAAATTATTCAGTAAAGTATCCATCTCCCTCGTATAGATCAAGAATAATAAGTAATTCGGTTGTTCGATACGACAGCTGCTAGAATATATGGTTAAGTAAATCAAAAACTAGCACAGCCAACTAAAAGTGAAACGGAATTGAAGAGACAATCGGAACTCAAAGCTAGAACAAAATTATTTCAAATGAATATGTGCACGCCCATTAACATCAACGATGTGAGGAAACTATGGTGCACACGATTACTAATTCACCACTTCGTACCGAGAGATATGGGAAATAATTCGAGACCGGAAAGTATTATAGGCTATGATCTGAAAACTTAGCGTATAAACGAAAGTCCTAAGGAATTTTGTTATTATTCAAATAAATACCTGATGAAAAATAACATGAAGCTTGATATTAAGCCATTTAAATTAATCTGATAATATCATTCGAAAGTTTGTGTGAAGTAATGAAGGTGAAATTAACTTCGCAAAAGTATATTGTGAACAGGTAGAAGAGGATAAGTCAGAATATAAGTAAGCGAGGGCGTCTTACAAAAGAATGAGCTCTTGCAATTCTCGTTACGAAAATGTGATATCTGTTACCATAACAGATGCTATGGGAGAATAAATTCCTATGCGTCTGAAATCATTAAAAGGTTGACTCATTTTTTCAACGAAAAATATCTTCCCAGTATTTCTACCGAATGTCGTAAATATGAAACCGCACAAAAAGCTGAATTCATAATTCGCACCAATTTCTGCAATTTTAGCAGAATAAACTGGTTTGTAACACGGTCAGAAACCTATATTTATTCTTATTCTAACACTGCCTAGGTAAGAATTTTGACATGAGCTTGATGGCCAGTATTGTACGTTCAGCTTTGTGCGTAGATAGATATATTAAGACCCTGTACCACATTACATTTATGATCCATTTGATAGACTGGTGGACACAATAAGATGTCCCTGGTACGTTTTTGACATGCCATATTGTCTTCAACTCCACCTGTAGCCCTACTAGGGTTACTGCCGGCTCCAAGTCCAGGTAAAGCGGGAGGAGGAAAACCAAAGAACACATTACGTCGGGAAATCGAAGCAGACATGAAAAGGATGAATGATGACTGGAAGGAATTGCTTAGGACAGGGTTGGATGGAGAATGTTGGTGAACGGCCTATGTTCCTTCACGAGGAGTAACAGTTGTAGGTACGTTTCTTGTTATTTGGTTGGGATATAAATGAAAATATAACAGTTAACATCAAAATAATGATACATAACTACAAAAAAGAGTAATATCATTCAAGATTCAATGCCATGGATTATTAGGATGCTTTCCAGAAACATTACTTCGAATAATACTACTCAGTAATGATAGACCTACTGGTCCAACGGGATTTGAAGAATTTAACATTGCTAACAGAGTTGGATTCAGTTTATTAGCGCTGGTAAGTCCAGGAAGTAAATGTGAATCAGAAATAGGAGTCCTTGAATTTAAGGAATTCAATGCTGAGGCAAGAGGTAAATTATGAGTTGCTGCTGCAGCAGCTAACGCAACGGCAAAATTATTTGGAGTTGACCATAGAGGAGAATCATGTGAATGATGAATAGAGCTTTGATGAGCGGCTGCAGCAACCTGTAATGCAGCAAGTGCTCGTGGAGAATTAGAAGTTGACAATGCATTAATCGGTGTACGCGTATTAAGCCTCGTATCTGTGAACGAAACAAAAAGTCATGGAAAAATCTGAAAGAAAACATACTTTAAGAGATATCAAACTAAGATCACAACATAAAGTTGCCTTCTATAGATTTTAACTTGTCTTCATTATCGCTGTTGAGTGATATTACTACTATTTACTTGACTTATACTATATACAAAACTGACTTTTCATTACAAACAACTTGGTAAATGATATGATAATCTTACTGTAATTCAAACTACATTTCAGAAATAAATTCTTTCCTTCATAGCTAATCTTTTGTTGGATGCAAGCAATATTTCTAAGGTATCTGTGGTCAAATACTAGTAGCTTACGAATATCTTCTACTCATAATGGCCGCGTTTCGCAGCCGTAAAGTAGAACAGAAAGAAACGGCCGCGCAGTATACTCGTAGATGTTTCACCTTTGCCATAAGTGACGTAAGTTGGTAAAAGCCAAACGAACTTTTTGACTCCGTGCTGAGATTTCGTCAGACACCAACCCATTTCGGCTGATCAGACTTCCAACATAAGTGAAATTGTCGACGTGTTCGACTACTTCACTCCCTACCCTTAGTTCAGGCCTTGAAACTATTAAAACAGGACTGATATATTATTCAGATAATAAAACTAACAGTGAATAAATATATGAAGTATCCTCCAATTAAGGGTTAAACATGAACAGTGCGCTAATGTGGTATGGCGACTCGAACTGATGTACGTACATACGTACGAAGTTCTACGTTGTTACTGACTGACTGACTAACTAAACATGAATAATCCTAAAACATTTGTATAACGAATCATTCGTTCATGATTTTTGCTTCGATTTACACAAATACACTGATTCACAATGAAGCGTGTAAAAAAGTTACAGAACGTTTAAGTTCATAAAACAATTCGTTTATCTTCAAGAGGACCCACCATCAAATGTATAATTTTATATTATTCATGAGAAGGAATGACAATAAAATTAGTGATATGACGATGAATCTATTATATGATATTAGTAAATCATCAATTCAATTTCAATTGCAATATTTTCACTTACTGGGACCAATTCGACTAGTTACACTTTGTAAAACTGATGGTAAGCCCAGAAGTGAAGAATTAGTTAATGACCCAATAGAATTGACAGGTTTAATTACATTTGTAGCATTAAATCTTCGTATAGGGTGGCCTAGGAAAAACAAGTGAGAATAATAACTAAGAAACTTATGTGGTGGAAAGAGCATGAGAATCAAAAAGTGAATGTATGGAGGTGTTAGCGGGACATAGATTGAATTCAAGCACGTTCCGTGAACGATTGTGTTGGTGCACACTGATTGACTAGTTCTTATGCAATCAGCGCTAGTCAATACCTGGAGAAGACTCTAAAATCTTCTCATGTAAAAACTATAAATATACTAACATTCCTCTTATTGTGCTTCTGACTTCCATCTAACCTTATTATTTGGAATGTAATTTCCTTCCTGTTCAACCGTGTTCTGATTTAATGACTTGTCGAGTGTCCAAGAATACTAAGCAATAGGAATAAGCTGGGTTGTAAATAAGGGAAATCATAGCAGGAGAAGATATGATCACACTGATAAGAAGTAAAACTTCAATCAACCTTTAACATATTTTGCGCATAAAAATCCTTATCTTGACAAAAAGATAAACCGACAGAAAGAGTAATGTATCAGTCAAAACTTTATTTGAAATTTTCATGACTACATATTATCAATGTAGAGAAATGATCTCCATTGAAAAAGTAAATACATTTAAGTGAATATCAAAATTAACCAAGGTAAAAAAAGACTCAATAAGCAGTATTTATGATAGAAATATGAGTAGAAGAGTGTGGATCAGCACAATGAAACAAAACTAAAGAGATGGATTTAACACTACATAAACTATAATTTATTAACTTGTTTACTTTACGCTAGTAGGTACATTTTCTAATGAACATATAGAATAGTGGTCCTAATTTGACCCATTGAACATGAGGTAATCGTAAGTACATCATGTACATAACCACCATACATACTCAGAAATGATTATTCGTTTTTAATGTCGAATACCTGGTTGAGATTCCAGCAACAATTGTGATTATTGATTATAGATAGTGTGACATAGATCAGGTATATTCACTCTCTATTTTGTTATACTTCTTGAGTTTCAATGTTTCCCCAAACATAACTTCACATTCTGTCTTTTCGAACTATATCCTCGATATTGAATCATTCTCATCACTGTTACAATTATTTCGACCCCTTTACTATTCACCTTGTTGTGGTAACGTGGTTCAGCGAATTGAGTGATCACATATTTGTGGTAGTCTCTTATTTTGATTATAACTTGCTGGAGTTCAGTTCAACTATATCGTGAGTGTGTCAATTACTAACCGATCGTACTGGATGACCGTTGTGGTATATCACCTATCAACCGAAATTAGAAATTTGAGGCACTAAATTCCAATTCAGCAATTTAAAACTAAAGCATTAAGATGAAGATCCTGAGTTTCATTTCTTATTGCTAAGATCTGTAAACCACCGCAAAACTGCTATAGTCTGACCCTAAGTAGCATATCAAAATTGACATAAAAACAGCTTACTACTCCTGTACCCCAATACCTTAACTTTATAGTGATCACGTAACCCAAAAATTTTAACTCTCTAGAAAGATTCGCAATAAAACTAGCATACAATATAAACTATTCAATAATGTACACAGATTAGGAAGTTTATTCTTCTACTATGCAATTAACCTTTCCTATTGTCAAAAAAAGAAAATAAATCAAATTCGAATTAATAACTCTCATGGTTGAGGATCCAATCACCGAACTTAATATGTATAAGCTTGGAAATTTGAAGCATTTCACCCCAATTTTATAGATACTTACCAGAAATGCCAGGAATGGAAGTGATATTCGATACAACAGAATTACTAACAGAACATGTCGAAGCTATTGAATGAGGTATATGTCCAGTAGGCAAAGCGGGATTAGGACAAACAGGACCAGGTATAACTTCTGAAAGCGAAGAAATTGTGTTGGGAGCACCTGTTGCAGTATTCGGGTTTGTATGACGTGGTGGCGGAGATTTCGGCCGTAATCGCTCAATTTCTTCAGTTGTTCCCAGCAACAATCCATTAGGGTCTTTATTAAAATTATTAGCATATATACGCGGGTCATAATTCGATGCAGACAGTTCATTACCTACTGTCACCCAACCCTAATATAAGAGAAAACGTATTATGATGAAGGCGGAACTAAACATTCGTAACAACTTCATGTAAAATATTACATTCAATCTTACATAGACACTGTAATCCATTAAAATAATGTAGATGTTCCCAGTTAATATGTATTTTTCTGCATTCTTTCAGTCTAACAACTCTGACAAATGTTATTTTCTAAATTCGGAAATATCGCTAACCTTGATTTTGTGGTAATTGAACAAAGAGAATCACTTAAAGGTTAATTACATAGACTTATAAAATTTCCTTCTCAACATGGAAATAAAAAAACTTATCACAGGAAACCTTGTAAGATGTTGGTCACTGTAACAACATTTTTGTTATACTGTATGGTCAGACATAGTAACAGCCCAGTTGATTTCACATACACATTCCACAACTGATATTTTGTTTACCGTACGCTTTTGAATAATCTGGTTCGCATATCTATAGTCTTGCGGGAAATTTCCGATTTTTCGTCATTAGGACGAGTATTTTTAACTTTGTCTTCCAAGCAATTAGTTTTGAGGTTGACAAATTATCATATTAAACGATCATATTAACATACATACTACATCAAGTATGTGACCGGAACGTTTTTAATTAAGAAACACACATCATTTGTTAGTAAGATAAATACCATCAGCATTAACAATGCAACTTCATTCAAGAGAAGAGTGTGAATAAGCAGTCTTTCATAGATCAATTGCAACGGGAGATTATTTGAGTGACCGAATGCTTAATAATAGTTCGTAATTTGCGTGTTACTCAAGATCTGAAGTTTGTATGGAGAGACAGATTCTCACAAATCCAAGTCGACTTATCACACGATTAGTTTGGGAAATGTGCCTCCATTTTCTAGTACTTTAAGTTTCGAATGTTTGTTTAATCTGATATCAGTTTAGGATGAAGCCTATTAGTAAAAATGATTCATATATGAACAAAGCAAATTATTAAAGTCAGAAAACCTATATTACTATATATATGTATGTATATTTCACTCACGGGTCTTAATGTGCTATCTCTACCGAATAAATGTAATCTTCGTCTTCCAAGACAAAAATGTTCAATAATGTGAAAAATTTCGGTTGGTTTATCTTTGGCAGCATAACTGCCTTGTGGAGGAGCTTCTTCAATGATCAGATCAATGTCTATATTAGCATGAATAAAATCTCCATCAGTGGAACGTCTAACAGTTCCGTGTATACCCATTAAGCAATGTTCTTTTGTACGTTGAAAAACACAATTCGGTTCAAGAGCTTCATGTCCTGGATTGTTGATATTTGTTTTGATCCAACATATATCTTCACAACGACGAAAACCCCATTTACGTAAGCACTAGAAAAAAATGAAGAATCGACTAGTCCTTTCAAAGGAAAATGAAAGTTGGAGAGATAGTCTATTGATAAAAGAATATTTCTTCATAAAATGAAGAATTTCTCAGGAGTTGTATAGTATACATATGATGGATACATTTAGTGACGTTGGCATATATTATCGAACTAAAATAAACTGAATAGTCACTTGCAGTGACTTAGATAATCATTAATGCTTCTTTCAAACCAGAAGATTTATTTACTTATTTGTGAATGTGTTGTAACTTGAGACAATGCACATCTATGCGAGCTTCTACAGTGAGGATGGCTGGCTGACCTAATATATAAAAATACTAGTATAGCTGAGCACCAGAATAGATATCCCATACGAATAGAATAGTAAAGACGCTGCGAAGACAGTTGTTAAGCGTGTCTAGGCGACAGAATTCACTGTTTCAACGTGATGCGAATGAGTTATCATCATATACACTGCTCAACCGCAACATTACTAACGTAGTGTTTCAAGAACTAGTCAATTTTATTATTTACAGTTGGTAAAGAAAGTTTGAAACACTTACTTTTCGAGCAGCATCCAAACCTTCACCTGACCCACACCATATCCAAACAAATGCACGTGGAGCAGCGATTTGTTCAATTTCTAAACGTTCAATCTATACCAATAATGGTAAACAGGGAAATATGTACATTTTTGAAAATTTTTTACAACAATGACAAAAGAGACGAAATGTGAATGTTGAAATGTCAGTTATATTGAGTGGTGAGTTAAAATCGCTGTTCATTCAGTTCAAGCAATCACCCTTCAAACTTAACAATATACTTCACAATGGATCCGAGTTTAAATGTGAATTACAAACTATTAGCTCAGGTTCAGTCACAATTAAAAAAGAATAGATTATATATATAAATTTCAGTTTGTGCGACGGTGTAGTGAACATAAGCTACGATACAACGAAGCCAATAGACTCTGACGACTCAAATTCAGATCAAGCATCACGTTGGATTCTCAGAAGCATTTTGAACTTTAGAATAGTGATGAATATGGATTGCTTTTACACAAAACCTATGTTTTTAGTTCGGGATTCCACAAGTCAAGAGACTACTAAGCTGAAGTTCTGAAATAGATAGTTAATGAAGTTCATGTCTGTCCATACTTAATGATTCCAAGTACAAATATTTCTAAATGAATAGTAGTATAGAAAGAAAATCCAATTCTCCAATTTACTTTATCAATAATTAGTGTTCAAACTTTAAAGTCTTTGATGACAACCAATTCTTCGAGTGATTTGAGCACGTTTGAGTAATATTGTAAAATAACCGATATGCTGGAAAATCGATAGATTCTACCACTGGTTTGATCAGTATACTGAACGTTTCAAAGACAATAGAAGATAAAACCATAATAATTTTTCGGCACCACATTAAACCAGACTGGATTGATTAATTTGACTTTAATTTATCCATAAATTAATCTATTGGCAGTTTTGTTTTGTCTATTACTGACGTTCATTTACCATTTTTTACCACATATTGTGGACCACTGTACAAGTGTCCCATTACCCTTATTTTACAACCAAATATGATTATAATCACAGTATCATCTACTGTAATTCAGTTACTAAGTACAGATTCACATACTTGGTTATGAGCCACACTCTATATGTGACGGTTTGTGATACTAATCGATTGCTTAAATTGACTTATTTGTTGCAAAGTTCGTACCAGACCTTGCTTGATAAATCACACATATTATAATAAAAATAACAGCATATTGAAAACACATCACCACGCATCATTATTAAGGTTTGGTAGTTGAATTTAAACTGTTCTATTCTCAGTATTCTGTAAGAAATAACTGTCGAATGGTTTAACAATTCAACTAACAGACTGTGTGTAGGTGTAGAATAAAAACATGAAGTATTAAGATCAAATAGAATATTGATAAGATTGGCAACAGTAAGAGAAGTAATAAACTGAATAAACTAACCTCATCCCAACTCCAATATTGATCAAATACAGCACCATTCATTCGATGATACTCTTCTAAAGGAGGTTCAATCAGAATAACATCGAATTTTGAGTCTAGCTCATTTAAATCAAATGTTCGTAAGTCAGCGCACAAATACATAGGAGGTGTAGCCTTTGACTGAATGTACTGATCTTTTAATCGAATTAACTCACGTAATTTAGGATATTCTTCAAATCGATTTCTCAGACCTAAAATATATACATATAAAGAAATAAGTACTTAAAACTTATACTGTGAATATTTCGACTGTGTTGTTATGAACTGAGAATTTAGATGATAAACATTGAATAACCTACATAAACATTATGATCATGACTATTATGTCTTAAACAAATTAATTATCTATATTTTGAAATTGGCTGACAAACAAGTCATGTAATAAGAAATAATAGAACAAATAGAAAAAATCTAAAACGTACCGGTATCACGTATAAAATTTTGTGGTCGTTCACCAGTATCCACAAAATGTTGACAGTAATCATTATGTGGATTAGCACTTTGAGTTCCCTACATAATAGAAACAAATTAGATAAAATAATACGTTTATGATATTGAAGTGAAAGTATAAATTTCAATCCATAGATTAACAATCTAATGAGTTTGCCTCCTTTAGTCTTGCTGCCAACACTACGTGAGGTTAGACGCAGGGTATTAGGGAATGATTGTAAATCAGTTGATGAGGTTGTGAATCTTCATCGACTGAGATGATTGGGTCACGTGTTGCGTATGCTTGAACACCGATTACCACGACGCGCAACATTGACTAGTGTTGGATACGACTGGAAGAAAGTTAGGGGCGGCCAAACCAAAACGTGGCATCAGTGTTTGAAGTCACTAAATTCTAGTCTGAGCCATGTTGATAGATATAGATTACTTGGTTGGGGTCTGCGTGGATATCGTAACCAATAGTTGGAGACTCTTGGTGACATGGCTCAGAATCTATCACAATAGCGTAGGTGTGTGGTGTGTACTACTTATATTGGGATAAGTAGTATATGATGTTAGTCGTGAACAGAAGGTCTGGCAGCAAACAGAGAAGAGGATCGAACAGTAAAGAATGGAAATAGAATGCAATTTGTATGAAAATGCAAGGACAATGAAGTCTGAGTCATTATGAGACAATTGATGGACATTTTGCAAATTAGGCATTTATTTTATGATTGTTAGATTTCATTAACAAGTCCAGTAATTTTGTGTTAAATACATTCGATTGTTCCCACCCGTGTTTTGTTCACTACAGGTGTATACACTCTGTCTTCCCTTAAACTATGAGATTAAAATCACTTCATATCTTTCTTTCTAATAACTAATTATTTCTTCCCCTATACACAATCTTTCTTTTATATATTACCACCATTGAATTAACTACTTCTATGAATCCGCTGTTCATCTTGCTGTGCTAATGAGGTATGGCAACTTGGACCGATGCATATATGTGCCTGGTCCTACGTTGTAGCTGACTGACTGCCAACACTAAGTACACTATAGAATAAGTTTGGAAGACAAAATTAACTAAGAAATTTCCATATAAAAAATGACAACGAAATAGAATAAGATTTCCGAAATTTAAAACAAAACAAATAAGATGGATTAGTACTGCTGGTATTGATTTTCATAACATCACCAATAAAATGGATGACAAAAAAGATCTCATAACGCAATTTCAGTAAATATGCACATGCTACCGTTAAACAATAGAAAAAATGTAGTATTGATTATTTGGATGTAATTTCAACTAATTAGGTGGGAAATTCTGTATCATACAGGTTGGCCAACAGACATCTGTTGATATCAAAGAATCACCTAATTGTTTCCTGACGTTCAATTTTCGTGGCATTGAACAAAATGTCATTTTGACACTCATTTATTTTAAATAAAAAACAGAAACAAGGAAAACACGTTGGAAAAGTGGTTTTTACTACGGTATGGAATTGGAACCTTAGATCTTTAAGATGAAATTAACCAAGATAATAGATGGCAGCTCCTCTGCAGCATCGTAGTTGTAGGTTAATAGAAAACGACTAAAATAGGCAAATGTAAGCATATAGTTTGATGGTCACGTGTTTATGAACATGATGCTGGATTGGATCTCGATAAAAAGAAATGGTTGTGAAAAAAACACCAAAGTACGACAAAACAAATGTCCAGTGTTCCTTGATTGCCAGAACATCTTAGACAGATGTCAATCTGTAATCAGAATTACTATCAAAGCTTGTAACATGACTTCAGGATGAATAAATGCTGAATTTTGTGTGTTTACAGAATTCACTATTGATACAGCAGTTTGACCATCGAAATACAAACCCTCAGAGCTTTGATGTCTTTTCATCCAGAAAATGAATTCTGTCTTGCGTGGGGTAACTGAATCACACGAGATGAAATAGTTGGTGATAATCAATGTAGGTTCTGGAATAAATCTGAACTGATGTAAACTAATACATCACATCAACACGAGATGAATTTTAAAAAAGAATGGCAACAAAGTTGAAATAATAACCGTATCAATGATAGTGAAAATCTTAACTACATGGGATGGAAAACAAGTTAAAAGTATGAAATCATATTAAAACCCAAAATTTATGGAAAGGTGACAAATGAATACAAGTATGTCGATGCGATCGATATTGAGCCATGGTTATTCCCAAATGTCTAACCATTAATAACAATTATCATGCGAACATAACCAGGTAGTCTACGCTTATCAACACGAGTCAGATCAACAGTCAGGGACTTTAAGAACTGACAAAAGAAGACGAGTGGGAATTTATGCTGGGTTTCATTCTACTAACCATCGTAATTAAGCTATGAATGATAAAAAGTACCCATGATCATGTAACGAGTTCAATTATAACATGATATAGAGAATCTAAAGACATATGGGAGTCAATTTAACATACATTCATTCGAAAATATAAAGTCTAATGGCAACGTTGGGAATTTAACAAACTAAACAGCGTTTATCCACTTTTATTATCGGAATATTTTTGTATTAGCAGCCACAACTCTAATACCTATTATATTCAACTTCGATCAACTTTTACTACAGGGCAATTTATACTTTGGCATGATCAATAATATTAAAGTCAGTCTAACTAATGGCTCACAGAAAGTTACACTTTATAGGAGTGAAGAAACCCATCATCAAGCTATACACGAAAAAGCAGTGAGGGTTAATTCCAGTTAGTGAGATTTTTAAAAGATTGCACAATTCATGAGTTTATTTACTATAATTACTTTTTAAATGACTATTCATGACAAAACCTATCCCCAACCTTGTCATTAACACCCTATATACATTAAATTTCATTTAATATTTCTCATAGCTTAGTAAACATCTAAAAAGGGCTCATTTCAATAATTAACTAAAAACATCATACTTTAAGAAAAGCAGCTGAACCAGTAAATGTTCTGACGACCAAATCACAATTAGAATCTCCTGTTTTACCAACAACATTGTCGTCATTTGAAGCTTTATCTCCTATATTACTGTTTGTATTTGTTGATATACAAGATGCCAGTGTTTGTCTTAATTTGTCGCCAACAACTTCAAGGCTGAATTTATCCCACTGTTGTATGATTTGTTTATTATCTTGATTTAATGTGCCGGATTCGCCTAGGAAAGACTGTATTGCACGACGAAGCTTAAGACTAAGCACTGGGCATTTTAAACGAGAAATAATTGGTCTGTTGAAAAAAAAGATTTTAACAAGAGATAATATATATCGACTGTAGGATATCGGATTTATCTGTCTCTAAGAAACAACTTTAAAACTTGTCAGAGGTCATTTTAAACGGATACGCATAGGTATAAAACGTAATAAGCATCACAACTATAACCAGCGGAAATAAAATCGAGTCTTTAGTCGGACATTTGTTAAATGACCGAAAAACTGAAACTCATTTATGGCACTCCATTACTGATGTTTGCGTGTACAAGAGGTTCGCAGCCTAAATACGATGTTTTGGATCAAATCATTTACTTTGATACTGGATAGAGGGGGTCAACAACATGGTTTTACAGTCACAATTTAGCATTTGGAGTTAAGAAAAGCGACAGTTTAGTGGATAAGGCGTTCGACTTTCAGCTACGACTTCAATTTGGGCGAACGTTTCTTTAGTGTGACTCATACACAAGTAACTGGTGAGTGGTTTAAACTAATTATAAGTTGACGAAACTAATCAGCGATTCTACCAACCACAAAATATGAAATAGCTGAACTAATTGCGAACTACTGAGATTGTTGGATAGTGTGAATATTCATAAAAATCCAAAGCAACCCCAGCCTTCTCAAATAAAATCCTGTGTAAACAGCAGTTGATTAGTGTATCCCAGATGAGTAAAAATTACCCAAACATTTGGATATAAAAGTTCCAAAACACAAAGTATCATGTTATACTTAATCGTCGTGGTATTTTTATGGATCTTACTTTTACCAAGACTTACGACTGGATAAAAGGTGGGATCTTGTACAATGTTACGGACAATATAAACCACAATAGATTTCGACAGGAAGTTGGCCAGCCCTTTATTACACATCCCTAATCAATGTTCACCTTAATATAGTAACGAATTGGAAATAAACGGAACGAGACGAAAAAGGTAGGACCGACTCATATTTCTTGACTGAGACATGAAAACCTTGGTTAAAACCCACAGGAATGCGTTTAGCCTTACCCTAAATACAAGATGACTTAGGTACTAATTCGAATTGTACTCCTTAAGTTCCGATTTCCTCTGTAGTTAATTTCGTCTCTCACCATGCTGTGAGTTGTGGAAGCTTGGACATAAGGACTTTGGTACTATCCTATGCTAATACCTACTAAATGATATTCGGATTTATCAGCCATCACACAACATTTTGAACACGTTAAAATATTTGTATGGTGCATTTAAATGAAATAAACCCACAGAAACACCTGGGATTATAGATGCACAGTGATTGCTGTGTACGAAGAATCCTATCTCTCATCATGTAGCGCAATACATATGATAAGAATAGGTTGCATGTGGTTGTGAGAAACTTCCTACTAGGATAACTTAAATCTTCGGTAGACAGACAAATCAAGTATGGAATGCAAGGCTGACAAAAGTACAACTTACAGAATCGCCCGCTTCCTACAAACGTCTTCGTCAAACTGTAGGTAGGAAGGTTTGCGGTAGCCAAGTAAATCTGACAGAGTAAGACTGATTTGATTGCTGTTCTCTAACCTCAATGAGAATGAACTGTTCCTCAGAAGATGTCGTAAAATGACCCGACGTCGCCTCAATTGACGGTCTCTTAGCTGCTTATATCTCGCCCGGGAAACCTCAACACAGTCAAACGGGTTGCCGTAATCTATTTCGGTGGCCATACTGTACTTGACACTTTAGACACCTAAGGACAAAGTTTATGGAGGAACACGTTTAGAAATATATATAGATCCCTTTCAGCACATACATGCTGAAGGATATAGTAGCAAGAAGTGAAACGAACAAGGAGAATGTTTTATTTTTTTGATAACAAAAATTTCTGTCTACAGAGTTTCGGTAGGGGCATTGAAGACTTCACGTATGATTAGAAAACCAGAAACCGCAGAAGCGAACATTGTGATGCTTTTCACGAGCGACCTACCGATCTAGATTTACATATGCGGCTACTTACCACTTGTATGGGTCATTGTAAATGCTACGGAAAAAACCAGACTTTGACTTTGCAGCAGTCTCTGACCTAATAGTAAAAGGAGGCCCGAACATCGCTATGTAACGCTAACTGTTGAATGTAGTTCCTAATCCTCAATCCATATCGAACAACAAGTAAGTGAAATTTTGTCTGGTAGGATGTTAACCTAAGATATTTGAAGGCGAAACTTGATTAACCTGAGTTACTAATGTATGACTGCCCTTTAACTGCATGTTGAGATGTAAATGTTGTCATGCATCACATGTTTCTGTTTGCGTAGATGCTTGGTGAAGATGGTTTGTAAGCTCTTTTTCTGTACTTAAAAAAACTCAAGCCGTTTTAAGGATAGAAAACACTTGCCAATTTATTAATACTTGTATGTTAGACCACAGGTCAATGGACACAGGTGTCCCGAAGACATGAATATTCTCTTTATTCCTAAAGATATCACAAATAATCGGAGTGTGACGAGGCCCCTACCCGCAACGCCCATATAGTCGAGGTGTACCAGTCTGGTAAAATCAGAAGTCAGGAATGGATGAATTTGAAGTTATATATAGAAAGTTGTCCATTTGTTGAGAAGCGTTTGATTTATGCTTGCTAGTAGTTGCAAAAGATGAGTTACACAGTGTATCCACTCGTCATCAAGGGCGTATCAAGTCATACTAATGTGGCTGGCATCCATCTCGAAGACTTACGGAATTACTTATTTTGGAGATTTATTTATCGCTACAGTCGTGAAGCTAAACGAAGTTACTGATCTTATATTATTATCATGTGCTCACTGGTGACTAGCTTCGAGAAGTAATTTTCGGAGTTCTAGTGAGAAGCTATGACCAGTGCAGTTCAATCCGTGTCGGGCATACAGCAGTTACTCATCAAAGACGATGGGTGTTGGTCCGAAAATATCAAGGATTGGCTGAAGTTAGACATTAACGCTGTCGGATACCGGCTCAGTAGTCTAGAGCTTAGGCGTTTGTGCACGAGACCGAAGGTCTTTAGATTGAATTACCAGTGTGATGTCGTGGATGCACACTGCTGAAGAGTCCCATAGTGGGACGAGACGGCAGTCCGTTGATTCTAGAATTTCAGTGTTCGTCTAACATTGAAAAGTACATGATCGCAATTAAATCTCATAGTATCGTTCATTATTATGAAACTAGATATGCGTCGTTAGGAATATAACAGTACTCAATCTTCAAGTGTGTTGTTGCTTTCTAGTTATGTAAACGAAGATTTCTATACCATTTTTACATTTTATAGGAGGATTGTAGACTGACAATCATATGGCTAGCAGAACGTGGTAAAAATATCCTCAATAACCCGTTGATTTCTTATCCTACAGTCCTGAATAGGTTTCTTACCCTTTTAGGCTAATTAATTTCACACATGGAAGCTAAAGCTAGATTGATGCAGTGCACAAGAATAAAAATGTGTAAACTTGAAGGTATCTAGAAAGAGACTATGTGTAATAACTGCATATTGGAATAAATCAGTGCTCCTGTAGTCAGTTTTGTTTCATCGACGATGAATACTGTGAAGATGGCACAGGTGTTCGGTGTTTGACAACGCTTTAACCAGTTACACCTAACATATCTCGTACCCACCAAGAGAAATCAAAAGACAGAATCGAGGAGATCGGAAGATATATTTGTCGACTGTCAATATATTGAGAATCGTTTGATCTAATCTGGCTAGCGATTGCAGTAGGTGTTGAACACGGCGTTCCCACACGTAATCTGGTGCGGATGCATGACCGAGCGCCCTCAGCTACAACTGTTTTAGACTGAATTTTCTTGATTTATTATATGTTGTATTGGTCTATTTCTAAGATTAAAAGACTAAACCGCTTTGATTGTAGAGACGGTAAATGAGACTTGGTGTGAAAACAACTTTTGTTACTATTCGTACTCGACCTTAACTTGTTAACTACAACCATCCTTTCGCCACAATGTAGAATGGCCTTGTATACTGTGATATCACATTGTTTCCTACTCACACAGTACATTTTCTTTGAACCGCATATTTTGTTCTCTATCCGGCCGGTATCACATTTTCAGGGTTTCTAAAATACTGTCTCGCTTTTTCCACTCAATCTGCCTGGCACCATCTTATGATCTCACCATCTCGTGATCTGGAGCGGATACGTGACCGAGCGCCTCCAGCTGAGTGAGTCCAGTAAAACTAATGCAGTCAGCTTCAATATCGAAGACATACAGAGCTATTGATTTGGGGGTTTTATTTACCGCCACAGATCACCCCTCCTAGTAGGGCAATGGTTACCCTAACAAGTGAACAATCAGAAGTTTAAACCAACTTGTTTGTCGTCAGTAAACACTATTCTGATAGCTTGCTATGTTCTGCAGCGTCTGGTCCTTTTTCCAAACTACAAGGGTCCATGTGGTACAATATAGTAATGCAAAACAGGTACAATGAAAATTTCGATTCACCGTTGGTTCCTTCATTTTTACGGCCGTCCTAGAGAAGAAAAAAGGATATATAAGTACATGTCGAATTACACTCGTGCGTGCATGAAGACACGAAACAAACAAAGAAAGTAGAATAAACTTATACACATGAGTTTCTTAAACATGCAATAGCGTGAAGACGATTTTTTTGAAAAAAATACACATATAAGCAAGCATATTAGCAGCAAAAACTTTTGTTTCTCGTTTTTCTGGAATGAAAAAATATACACGAGCATATGAAAAGTAGTTTTTGCTAATCCACACATTAGTTGAAAAAATTTCAGATGATACAGTGTTATAAAGTGTCTTACGTGCAGTACTCGTTAAGGCGTTCTGGAGACCTTATCCTTCCTCCAGAAAGTGTAGTTCTAGGTTGTTTGTCAGATACTAACGAAGTATGGTTGTAATTGCTAATTATTTGGTGAAGCACCGTAATTTTGAGACTCGTGTCTTTCTATTGTATCGAAGGAAATTGAACATCAATGGCGCTTCCTTCTAAATACGCACTTTTGAAGCAATCAGTGCTGATTTTATCGTTAGTCCCGTTCTTATCGATGATATGGAACTTGCGTTTACGCTGAGGAGCTTTAAAGGGTCCTTGAAAGATCGTCGAAGTGAGTCGCGGTATACAAAGGCGTGTAACTATATCGTAGGGTAAGTTGAACGAAGTCACCAATTTATTTCGGTCAAGCGCAAACAGGTTTAACTGAACGCACTGCGTTTGCAAGCCTGCTGGTGTAAGAGTTTGGAGCACACGAATTCTCTTGGGAGTCGGAGTGTCGTTTCATAAACTTGTCAAGCTGCAGTGCATCCAATGTCAGCCAGAGTTTGCTAACCAATGTTTGCTGAATGTGTGGGCCACTGTTTCAGCAGTAATTTTCTTGATTGGTACTGCTTCCAGCAATCGAGTGAAAAAGTCTACACACGTTAAGAAACAAGAGTATCCATTTGGAAATGGTAAAGGTCCTACCAAATTCAGATAAACGTGGTCAAGAGTTTTGAATGAGCCTAAAAAGCCTTTGCTGTGTCTAATCATGTCAGATTTCAGGCAGATTACACAGGAGCGTGTACATTCCCTCACATCTTTTTTCATACCGGGCCAACAGAATCGTTCTGCTATGAGGTTGATGGTTGCACAAACACTTGAATGAGAAAGCTGGTGCAACGCGATGAAGACGTTGTGCAGATAATGTTTCGGCACGATTGAACGTCTCTTACTTGTGGATGTGTCACATAATAAGGTTACCTTACTTGTTGTTGAAGACAACTATTTCTGAAGACCAGTGTCTTCTTTTTGGAGTTGAGCGAGTTTGAGAAAGTCGATTCCTTTGAAAATGTTTGAGAAGGTAGTACAAAATAAAGCGTCTGTAACTGCATTGTTTGCCTCAGAAATGAGTTGTTTATCTGAAGTAGACTGTAAAGTATAGTCCGGTTGTCGAGACTCATGAAATGAGTACTTTTCTGAAGATGAGCCTGAATAGAAGGCAAGAGGTTCGTGTTTGTTGAGAAGAGTGAATTCTCGGACTTGAACAGTATTGATAGTGTCGAACAGCCTAATAAATAGCTCGTAGGTACCTGCCGAAAGTGCTACACCTCGATTTTGTGTCTAGCAACAGTCTCAAGAAGAATGTCAAAGGTTGTTGCCTTTCAGAGGTCGGATGCCTTGATTATCTGGAGAGTCGGTCAAGATGCTGGAGATGAGAGTCTCTGTCTGGACTTGCAGTCAAGCAATCATCAGCGTACGCATGTACGAAGCAAAAACCTCGATAAACGTCATCGATGAATATTTGGAAAGTCTGTGTAGTATTTCCTTAACTGAAAGGCATGCGCAATATCCGTAGAGACCGGAGGGTGTGGTGATAATGGGTTTGAGAATGTCATCAGCAGCCATAGGTATTTTTCTACATGCTTTAACCAAGTCGATTTTCGAAAAGACGGTTGCATTTTTCAAGGTAGCTGTGAAATCGTGAATGTGGGGCAACGGGTAACGATCAGGAATGGTTTTCGCATTCAATCGCCGACAGTCTTCAGTTGGACACCAGTCGTTGCTATCTTATTTAGAGACCATGTGCAAGAGAGATGCCTGTGCACTGTTTGATAAGCAAATGATTCCGAAGGCTATCATATGGTCGGATTCATTTTTAGCCAACCTCAGCTTTCCTGGAGCTAGTCGGCACTTTCGAAAATACAGGTGGTCCTGTGGTCGTGATGTGACATGTAATGT